ATATAGACTTATAATGAGCCAGTCCATGAAAGCTCGCTGTCACCTAATTATATATATATATATGTGTATATTATATTTTTTGCTATGTTCACTCATGGTTGGAGAATGGCCTTCTGTAAAGCCTGGCATTCTCATTCATTTCGCCGATTCGAGTTTAGAATTCGAGTTTTGTTACAGTGAAAAGTTCTCAGAAAATGTCACATCTAACTTTTTCTGCTACAGTGAAAAGCTCTCACATAAAGTCACATCTAAACTCGAATTAAAAACTCGAATCAACGAAGTGAACGGGCCATTTTTTTATGTTTTTTGTTTGTTTAATTTGTATTTAGTAAATTTATAAACACTTTATATATAATTATCATGACTATACTCATTTTTTCTTATTAAGATTTTGTCCTACTAGGTTTTTTCTTATAAAGGTTTTTAATGAGACAGTTATAAATAAATATCTTTTTTTATATTTTCATTAACTATTCAGACTTTTATTAACTTGTTTAAAAATTTAAAAACAAATATTAAAAAAAATAAAAATTAAAGATTAAGAGGGGCTGGCTCACCTAAACCCATGTGAGCAAAGATGAGCCTACCCATCCTAACTCGTTGATGGGCTCGAATGGGCTGGCCAGTTCACGGCCCTGCCTAGCTCATTGAAATTGGCTCATAGTGTGGGCTGGATGGAAGGTTATTCTTATATGGGCCGACCCGACCCACGACCCGAGTGGGGCCTAAGTAGAATGGGTCGGGCCATATTAGGTCGGCCCATTCTTGCAACTTTACTTTTTGGCTCTCCAACGAGCCCGTTTTGGGCAATTTGAGATTTTGGGTGTCTTATTTGAAAATTTGAAGTTTCATGTTTTTATTATTTATGAATGATAAACATAAACATCTTGCGGTTAATACTTTAGTTGTCCTTTCTTATCATATTTAATGCTTAATTGTTGAGAAGACACTAAATACGAAACTAGATCAACACACTTCATAAGCCTAATTTAACCCAAAAAGTTAACCTATGAGGTCTTGAGTCCTTCCATATAACTATTTCACATCCTCATCCACTTTTTATATGGGACAACATACACATGCACTTTTCTCAATAATCTCCCCCTAATGTGTGTGTTCACTAAGCTCCCACTCAAACTAAAGTTTCAAGTAGCCGACACATCCAAGCATCACACTCTCAACGAAAGCCAACTTAAGCATGTGAAAGAGAGCCGAAACCATGTGAGTCCACTAATACTCCACCAAACTGCGGGAATACCAACTCTGCACGGGAGGCAATATGGGAACTACAACCGAGTGTGATCGCTTGACCTATACGAACCATCGGCTCTGATACCACTTGTTGAAGAGACACCACATGTGAAACTAACCCAACACACTTTAAGAGCTCAGCTTGACTCAAAAAGTTAACCTAGTAGGTTTTGAATCATTCAATGTATATAAACTATTTCACATCTTCATCTACTTTCTATGTAGGACAACCACACATGCAGTTTTCTCAACATTAATAACTACACTTGCGTATAAAAAAAATCAATGGGAATTTATGCACTACAAGCTCGTGAAATTGAACTATCATTGTAATCTTATTAGATCAAGTAATTAGGGTTGCCTAACTCTCTCCTTTTGTTGAAAGGTATTGTTGCCGAATCAAAAGAGGAAGAAGCTAGTTTATTTATCTTGAAGGTAATGATGCTTTAAGCTTTGCGCTTTTCCACTGTTATGAAATGCCGTGTTACCAATTGTTTCTCATCTGAAGATATATGTATATGAAAGAGATTGGATTGTACTTTCCTAAATCATCACGGTATGTCTTCTAAGAAGGAACTTCTTTGTGGATTTTTGCATGTCCTAAAAAACTTTTTGAAAGGCTACAAGGCCGCTACTACTACAGTCTAAAGTGATCAGATACTCCAAACTCCAAAGGACCAAAACAAAAAAACAAAAACAAAAACAAAAAAAACATCCAACCAAAAAAAAAAAATGATTTAGATGTCTGTTTTTTTTTTTTTTTAGCTTTTCACAATTGATTATCTTTATGATAATGCACGCTTCTGAATGTTAAACGTAGTTAAAGTCATATCAAAATGAAATTTTCAATTCTTTTTTATTGTTAATGTAAAATTCTAAATTCGTTGGCATTATTTTCTTGACAGGATAGAGTAGTGTTAGTGTTACATGTACCATTTGATTTGATAAATAGATTTTTTTATAATATGATATCTAATATTTTTATAATATTTGATTTGTACCATTATTTGATTTTTATAATAGATGTTTGATTTGATTTGTTCGCTAACTTATAATATGATATTTTGATGTTCACTTAGCGCTTTGTTCATTTTACCGATTTAAATTTTCAGTTTTAAGTTTTTACAATAAAAAATTCTTAAAAAATATCATATCTAATTTTTTCTTCTATAATAAAAAGCTCTTAAAAAATATCACATCTCAGTTCAAAGTGAACGATACCTAATTGTCTCATTAGTATCAAAGAGTAATAGTATGCTGACATCGGCTTACGTAAGTAAACAGTAAACTTTAAATACTCAATGCACGTGAATGTGATAACTTTTAAATCAATACATTTTTCAGGAGGACCACTAATATTTTGATTAAATTTGGAGTTTAATAAATACATTACTTCAGTCTTACGTCACATTATTTTTTAACTCTCAGTTAGGCCCTTTTTCTATTCCCATGCATGTTTCTCAACGGGTGTCATTACAAATTTTCTACTGGTTTCTTTTTCACCAAACAGGTTGATTTCTTTCATTAACACTGAAAGAAATAAGTTAATTTTTTTCTTAAAAAAATACAAGTTGATTTCTTTCACGTGAATTACGACAAACCAATCACGGTCATCCCCTGCATGAGGTTTGCCCTTAATTAATTAATTAATTATTATTATTATTATTATTTAGTAGAGCCCTTAATTTATTTATGTATATAGATGATGTAATACATATTCCGCCAAATGAATAAAATATTACCGATATCATATTCTACAAAGACTAATATATATTCTCGAGGAGTGGGCGATTCTGAAGATTTTCAATAACAGACGCAATCTTTGCGAGAACAATAAACAAAACATTGTTATGAAATTTATAAAACTGAACCATTCACAATTTATATAAGCTGTCAGTACAATGCTCAAGGAAAATATCAAATATGGGTGTCACAAAAGTCCTCTGCCGATCTGATAAGTTATTGAAGAGGAACTCTACCGAATTCTTGACTTTTTCACGGTTGGCTATTCCCGTCTTTATCACGATTTTTTCACCCTTGGGTTTCAAACAAAGTTCGTCACACTACTCTCAAGCACCAAGTATAAAAAGATGTAACGTGATTTATTACGAGTCTTTTTTCTATAGGGCCGTCTTTTTAATAGTATGATTATTAAATTTAATAAAAATCACGTCAGATTAAAAAAAAATATACAGAACATATAATTTTTAATATAAATATAACAGTTGAAAATAAAATCTTTTCTAGTTTTTTTTTTTAATGCCTACAAGAGAAATCTCCTTATCATAATAGATAACTTACTTCAAAGATATATGGCCCGGTACATATAGGTTTTAGACACAAAATTTGAATATAAATTCAATTTTCATTTTTGCTTTCAAGAAACAAAAAAAAAAATTCATTTTTTTTAAAATACCGTAATAAAAAAGTTTGAATTGTGGTTCAAAATGAGAAAAAAAGAACTCATGTTATTATTCTATAATGGATAATTTAATCATTATCATCATTATTATTATTATTATTATTATTATTATTATTATACTTTGATAAAATTATTACGATGCAAGTAAATATTACGAGTCCGTTTAGTTCACTAATTAAAATTTTTAATTTGAATTAAAATATAATTTTATGTGAAAATTTTTTATTATAATAAAAAAATTAGATATAATTATTTTTAAATTTTTTTTATTATAATAAAACTTAAATTGATAAAATAAGCGGACTTGCGATATTGTTTTACTCAAAGGTCTTGAGTTTGGATTATTTTGCTTATGATTATAATATGAGTCCTCGTTTATTGGCTGCTGCATGCTTGCTACTTGCTAGCGTGTGTTTCAACACGTAATAAGTCAAATCATAACGATATTTTTGTCTGTACGTCTACAAGTATTTTTGGCCGGTGTTGCTCAATTCAATAATGTCGGTTTAATTTACTGATTTAAAATTTTAATTTAAATTT